ATGAATTGGCCGGCGCACGGATCCATAGCTGCCAGCGAACAGTCCGCAATTTTAGTGGGGACACAGAGGGTAGACATTTGGGACGTGAACAGTGTTCACTTGTTATAAAAACATAATGTCTGTGTTGCGAACCGAGCTGTGTGACGCGAAATCACAGAAAGACTGACGAAATTCTCGCGTTCGCGAACCTTGCCCAGTAATGGAAATGGCTGCAAAGAGAATGGCTGTGTAGACTGGGACTCGCTCCCACGTCGATTACCCATCGAGTGACTAAGCTAAGCCGAGAACACGTAGCAATGCTGAGAGGGTCTATGTCCCCCGGGGTACTGCCGGAACGTACCCTGGGTACGGTGTGATACACCGGAACGTACCCTGGTACCATCTAATATGCCGAACCGTACCTCGCCTACTCCACTAACGAGTCTAGGGAGTCGCCTACGCCTACTCCCTAACCCAAACCCTAACCCTAATCCTAACCATATCAAATAGTGACCAAGGTACGTTCCGGTATATCGGACCATACCCAGGGTACGTTCCGGCAGTACCTGGGGGACATAGACCCAATGAGGGTTAGTAAGTGTACTGGGACGTAAATTAACCCACTAATTCATAATGGCTCATGTAATACAGAAATGAATAAACCCTGAATGTTCCAATTATATTATGTACAGGTTATTTGTACTGCTATAGCCTAGAGTCCTAACTATAATACGATGTATTGCAATGTACGGTATGTGTTTGTGCGCGTTTCTGCATGTATTGCTACGGCTCATAGGGTCTATGTGCTCCAGGGTCCACCCTCTCAGCCTTACTACCTTAGCTATCAGTCTATTGATCAGTAGGCCTATAGGGTATACAGCAACTGCCGTACACTACAACTACATAACACACATAACAGTATTAACCCCTTAACTGTGTACTTATTTAACCGTTAACTGCTCCCCATTGTGTACTTCATTTCATGGAAATCGTGACTTTCAGCTATCAGTAACATACGAATCGTGACCTTTTGACCGTTTTCATTCCTGATTGTATAGCACCGTTGTTATTGCTCCTATACATGTTCTGTTGCATTGTCTATGTCAAATATGTGTTCTTGTATTGTTATAAGTGTAAAATAATGAAATATAGAGTGAATTTGTTTTATATACTGTATTTTAGTCCCCTTTTCACGATTTTTTGTTTGACAAATTGTTGACAAGTTCTACTACTAGTACTAGTAGTAGTACTACTGCCGGCAATAATAATTAACATTGTCACGGTCATTACTAGTACTGGCACTAACATCACCGGCGCCATCACCCTCAGATTGACTGTCTAAGTGCTATAGCGTTTGCCAAATACGCCTCATCCCGATCGTCAGGTTCATCTTCTGATTCTGAATCAACGAAAGACGACAAATCATCGTCTGACTCAAGAATACGGCTCAAAACTTCTGCTTCAGAAAGCTTGCGCTTGCTAGAAGAGACCATTTTGAATGGTCGAGTGGCATCGAATGCAAGGCACGTAATAAAAGTGCAAAACCTAAACTCAATCACCATGCTGCTCTATTCACAAGCTCATGCCCATCCCCTGTGTATACGCAATACGTTTCTGTTTACGTTGTCGTCGAACGGTGAGTTTACGTTTCAGCTGACCTCAGGGTTAAACACTACAATGTCTCGCCTTTTCATACGTAAGCCGAGCCGGCTCGAGGAAAGGTCGAAGGGAAATCGCACGCATATCGCGTCGTTACGCCATCTATCGCCCGCCACTACACTCATGTACACTGATGTACAGTGATGTGAAAAAATACTAAAACTGTGTTTTTGCAGGAAACCAAGCGCGCCGAGTCGCCAAAAATCTTATACGAGCATTTCAAGCAATTGTCAAGCTACAGTGGTAGTCAAATCCGTCGTTCCAATCGCTAGAACTGCTCAACTCAGCGAGCTTGCTGCTTGCCTATATATGTAAACCCGTTGAAGGTGATGGAATGGTGGCAGCGTACGTATTAGAGGCCGCCCCTGGCGGCGTTGGCGGCGCTTCGCGCGCGAATAATCCGGCTGCAAGAAATGTCTAGTGCGATAGGTTGTTGCTATCCAAGTGTTGACGTAATTAATATTTAAGAAATAAACTGACTATAGTGTAATCAATGCACCAGTCAATTGAAACCCCGCCTTTCATTAGTTTTTTCGCAAATGTCGTTTTTCCGTTTTTCCAAATGCCGTTCATTGTTCCACCAGTCATTTCAAACCAGTTTTTAAATATACATACATGTGCCATTACTATGAGACATTGCCGTACAAGTGCTACATACAAGAGGCCAATACAGCTTTAAGAAGCTTCGATCAAGGATCAAGGACTCCCCCCTCCGCGACAGGGCGGGTAATTAACTGGCTGGCCCTGTTGTGGATGTTGATATATACACCAAGAGGTGGCGCCACTTGTATGCGTGCGGACTCAGGGTGCTTGGCAGTATGGAGGAGTAAACCAGTTGCACCACACAACGTGTCGATTGTGTTTTATGGACTCCCTGGTGCAGAACTTATAGCTGATGACATACTGTGCTATGGCAGTGGTGACACAATGGAAGAAGCAGTGGCAGACCATGATCGAAACCTGTTGAATTTGCTTCAACGAGCACGTGAGGCAAATTTAAGGTTTAACAGGCATAAGCTGAGATTGAGGCTTACTGAAATGCCATACATGGGACAATTATTAACGAGTCATGGATTGAAGCCAGATCCAGCTAAAGTAGATGCGATTTCTCACATGCCTAAACCATGTGATAAGAAGGCAGTACAGAGATTTCTAGGATGCGTAAACTACTTATCCAGGTTCATGCCGAATCTGTCCAAGATGTGTGAACATTTCCGCAGGTTGACGGAGAAGGAGGCAATCTTCGTATGGAAGACTCAGCAAGAGATAGCGTTTGATGCTATTATGAGGTGTATCACATCAGCTCCAGTATTGAAATTCTATGATGTGGAGAATGAGGTGACAGTACAGTGCGATGCTTCGCAGTTTGGACTAGGGGCTACATTGATGCAGAAAGGACAACCGGTAGCGTTCGCCTCGAGAGCACTAACACCTGTAGGGACAGTGGTTTTCCGTTTCAAAAAATTGCCTTTTCTGTTTGGGAAAATCATAAATTCCGTTTCAAAGTAAAGAAAAAATGGAAATTCCGTTTTGCCATAGAGATTGTACACACCAATAATTTAAAATTCCTTTTACATATATTTGCATGAAAAAAAGGTATTTGGTCACTGACTGACAGTTAGGTTGGGACCGAAACACAGGGCTACCAAAAGACGTAATTGTAAGTCATTTTGCTCTGAAACTTGTCTGAATGTAAACCATATCACTACCAATACTATTGTCAATGGTTTTTTAATGATTTTACTGAAATTTCCATGTTGTAATATGTTCAAATTACGTTTTCCGCATTTTTCCGTTTGAAAACATCTTTTCCGTTCCCCAATGGTCATTTTCGTGTTTTCCGTCCGTTTTCCGCGATCGCGGAAAATCGCTGTCCCTACACCTGCTGAACAGAATTACGCGCAGATAGAGAAAGAATGCCAAGCAATAGTATTTGCATGCAATAGATTCAACCATTACTTGCATGGGCCTGATGTGGTGACAGTGCAGTCCGACCACAAGCCGCTTGTGCCCATCTTCATGACGCCTATACAGCTGGACAATACTAGCGCAAAGAATCATCAAAATAAAACGGGCAAAGTTTCTTAATTTAGTTTCTTTAACATGGTTTCAGCATTTCACCGTTGTACGCTTTCCTTCTTAATACGCTCTTTCTAAGATGTATGTTCAGAAGTTTGTTAGATAGAGCCAGTTCATAACTGACCTACAGTTTCATGCAGTTAGTAGTTACAGTATGGAGTTACGTAGTGTTTGAAATGTTACGGAATTCTAGTTGAAAGGAACAACGTTATAGTTCCGCAGTACTGTATAATGTTTTTCTAAATTTGGCTGATAATGGTATTGTAACTAAAGGAAGGGAGATGTTGTGGATGTTGATATATACACCAAGAGGTGGCGCCACTTGTTTGCGTGCCGACTCGGGGTGCTTGGCAGTATGGAGGAGTAAACCAGTTGCACTACACAACGTGTCGATTGTGTTTTAATAAGAGTTCTTTATAAATGAATAAAGATAAGACAAACAGGCCCAACCCTAGTTTATCACCCCTGATTAGTGTAGCACATATATGCGAAAACATATTTCAGGGGTCCCAAACTATCCTCGATCCGGAACGGCGACCATCAAAATAATTGGACCCATCATCGGAATTCTGCATGTTTTTTGCATGGTATCTTCTTCTTGCTCCTTTTTAGATGAGCGGCAAGCGATCGTTTACGATTGATTATGCGAATGACCAATGGTTGAAAGATGGCGAACCCTTTCGTTACATAGCGGGCGCGATGCATTATTTCCGCATTCCAAGAGAATACTGGAGGGATCGAATGTCAAAGATGGCTGCTTCTGGACTGAATGCTATTCAAACGTAATACTGAAATATATTCACCAAAATGTCAAGATAAATGATATTCTTCTGATTTAAAAATTTCCTCAATTACACATGACAAATACTCAAATGAGGTGACTTGTGCACGTTTTAGGTACATCTCGTGGAATATGCACGAACCTCAACCAGGAGTGTTTGATTTCAAAGGCAATCATGACTTTGAATCATATATCCGATTAGCGCAGGAGATGGGCTTTGTCGTCATTTTACGTATCGGACCATACATAGACTGTGAGCGAGACATGGTAAAGTATATTTAGCTGACAATGAATCCATTTTTTCACGTGTGCTATATAACTTATATAACATACTATAATAAGTTGATAAAATTCCACATTTTAATCAATCATTCTGTGAAGCTTTTATATTTGCGAGGGTGGGTGGAGATTTTAAACCATGTATTCTGTGCAGGGAGGACTACCGTTCTGGCTACTTCAACAGAACCCCAATATGCGATTACGCACTAAAGACCCAGCTTACCTCAAACACGTCGACAGGTGGCTTGACATTTTGCTCCCTAGAGTGAAACGACTCCTCTATGCCACCGGAGGACCTGTGATAACAGTGCAGGTATATTTAAACACGAAACTTGTCACGTAGCCGCAGCAAAACAGTGTTATAACCACATGAATTTCTAATGTGAGAAATAATTTATAAATCACTTGTATTGCACTGAGAAGGATAAGCTGTACGATTGCACTAACAGGTAGAGAATGAATACGGCAGTTACTATGCATGTGACTTTGACTACATGCACCACCTCCGGGATAAAGTACGATTGGCCCTCGGTAATGAAACCGTGCTCTTCACTACGGACGGTGGTGCCGATTACTTCCTGAAATGTGGCAAGGTTGACGGCTTGTATGCGACAGTAGATTTCGGAGCAGGTTGGTTGAATTTTGCATTTTCCGATAATCTAGATTATTGAAAATCGACCGACGTTGCTAATAGTGAATATTGTATTTCGTTAAGGAGAGCGTGTTTGTTCATGTGACATGTTATTTTGATTTTTAAGGAGGTGATGTAAAGGCGGCATTTAGAGCGCAGCGCAACCATGAGCCACACGGGCCACTTGTCAATTCTGAGTTTTACCCAGGATGGATAGATCATTGGGGCTATAAGCATGCAACCGTAGATGCCAGTAGTGTGGCTGTAACCCTGAGACAAATACTTGAAGCAAATGCTAGTGTAACCATGTAAGTCCATGTGATGTAGAGACCAGTTAGCTTTTAATAATAGTGTCCTTGACGTTTAGTAGAATTTTAATTATATAAATATTAATTTATTAACGAAAATCATGAAGTATTATCCTTAATCAGAGGCTAATGCTTTTTCATGGGCATCTGTATTGTCAGATAATAGATTGATCATGACTGATTATGATTCTAATAAATGGAATTTGCTTACATAAATTTTACCATTGAACTTTTTAGATACATGTTTGAAGGTGGCACATCATTTGGCTTTGAGAATGGTAATACTTTAATAGTATAAGTATAGTATAGTAAATAATAGTGTAGTATAATTAATAAGTATAATTTAAAAAAGACACACAAACTTTAGGTGCACTTAACTTTTGTATGTTATATAATTTTATTTATAATCAAATATCTTGTGTTTCATGTGTAGTATGAACCTAACCAACAGAATATCTATTACATTGACTTTTGCCTCTTGTTTAGCAGTTCACTGGAGTACGTATGATCATATTTTTTATTGGTTTTCTATTATATCAGTTGCTATTTCTATGATATGCTGGTAGGTGCAAATCTCGGTGACAGTTTCATGCCAAGTCCAACCAGCTATGACTTTGATGCCCCCCTGAATGAAGCTGGAGACATCACTCACAAGTACTTGGTCCTTCGGAATGTTATTAGAAAGGTATTACACCCTTGGCTCCTACCGTGGAACAGGGCCATAGCCAGAGGTAAATTTTGTAGGAGGCAAATGTTGTGAGTTAAAGAACAAGGAGCGAAGCGAGCCAATAGGGCGTGGGATATGGGGCCCGCTTAAGGGCCTCAGAAGCCAACGGTTATATGGTGCTCTGTCGTGCATTCTCTGCATATATTACATCTAAATTTCCATTTCAGCTGGGGGACTACAAATTTTGTAGGAGGCATTTGCCTCCTATTGCCTAATGGTAGCTACGGCCCTGCCGTGGAATGGCTTTCAGCACTTCTTCACTTGCAGTGATTTCAGTCACGTGTGATGTTTAGGATTGTATACACTGAGATTTTTGATTAACCTAAGGATGAACCTTGCACCTGTGATAAGAATAATCTTGCAATAGTATTTTGACCAATGTTTTAAAATAATTTAATTGAGCTATTGATCTGGAGTGATTGACAGGTTGCTCTAGAAAATCAGCTTTATGGCAGTAGCCTTCTAAATTCACTGCACAGTAGTAAAGTGCCGAAAAGTAGACAATTTGGTGTGAATGCATGATAAAAAACATAAACCATTTTTTGTTTGAATGACCTAGCAAAATTATCTAACCTCTAAGCAGGGTGGTTGTATAGTTATGTCGCTCAGGCAGATAGGTCAATTACTACAATTCTATTCTTTTCAGTTCAATCCTTTGCCACCAGGACCTATTCCCAAAAACCTACCTAAAGCAGCTTATGGACCAATCAAGTTCTCAAAGGTAAGGTTGATTTATAGTTTTGAATATGAATTTTGAGTAAATAACTGAAAATGAGTTTCTCCTGCATAAATTCAGTGTAAATGGCATTTTTACACATGTGGTATATCTTCAACCATTTTAGATGGGCACAATATTTACCGTGCTTCCAACTCTGTGTCCACTGGGACCCATTCGTTCAGTTCATCCTCAAAGCTTTGAGCAAATAGGACAAGACTACGGCTTCGTTCTCTACAGGACAACTGTTGTTGGTACAGCTCCATTATATGAACATCTGCTTGATCTCCACAGTGTCAGGGATCATGCTCACATATATGTCAACCAGGTACCATTGTGTACAAACATGTACAATTGATTGATTTGCATAATTTATATTGCTTGCTTTCTAGCTTATAAAAATGGTCACATTTTCGTTCTCAATTGATTTACTAAAATGGCCATTGTACGGCAATGTCTCATAGTAATGGCACATGTATGTATATTTAAAAACTGGTTTGAAATGACTGGTGGAACAATGAACGGCATTTGGAAAAACGGAAAAACGACATTTGGAAAAAAACTAATGAACGGCGGGGTTTCAATTGACTGGTGCATTGATTACACTATAGTCAGTTTATTTTCTTAAATATTAATTACGTCAACACTTGGATAGCAACAACCTATCGCACTAGCTTTATTAGTAAGTATGTATACCATTCACATGCTTTTAAGAATGCAATAACTGTTGTAATAATTAATATATATAAAAAAACTAACCCATATTACTGTGTTTGTGATTGTGAGTGCGACTGTGAGGAAATGTAAACAAACTGTGTCCAGTTTCATAGTGACTGATAATTAATGTCGGTTGTCATAAATGCCATGCCGATCCCCGCAATCGCTGCCTAATCGCAATCGCACGTCCGCACGATATAATAGAATACTGCCACAGAATTGCATCAGCACCATTACAACGCAGAAAAATCACAACACAAGACAACAGTTCAGACCTTTGGTTCAGACGACAAACCGACCTCTCTCCACGAAACCAATTTTTGTAAGGTCGCTACCACACCCCGCCAAAATTAAAAATTAGCTATTAATTAATTAAAACATCGAATCTTGACATATTTACCACAAATATGAACTATTTTGCTTTTATTTCTGATGTTTCTAGTTTTTTAATGATATATAGATACTCTGAATTTGGATAATGGTTTATTTATAATATTTGCTAATTTAATAGCCAACTTTAGCCAAGCGACCACTAAAAAATATAACAAGTTAACAACAACGTGACGGGGCGGCGCTGAACTGAAGATCGCGTATTCGAATTTCTCCGTCTAAATTAACTAAACAGAATTTTAAATAGATTAATATCTAGACAGTCCGACACTATACCAATGGCAATCTCGCGATTAGTTATTATTCCTTTAACATTGCTGGCGTTGCATCAAAATGTGCTTTCGGTATGTCATGATGATGATGTTGTCATTTTATTGTTGATGCTTAAAGCCGCACAATGCGCATCCAAACGCTAATTTCTCCAGTACTAGA